TTCCCTACTGGGTTTCTGTATTAACTGTAAACACATAAAAATAAAATCATACTATAAGATTTATTTTGGAATTTACTAATCTCCTTGTACATCCAGATTAAACAGTAATTTTATTTAACAATTTAAAAGTAATATAATTTAATACGTTTGCTATTATGCGTGACACATTTCTTGAGAAACTGCTGTTACATATATGGGGCATTCCATGCAAAGTGATCCACCGCAAAAAAAATGTTTTTTTTTATTGTGCTGAAATTTGCACAATCTATTGCCCTATTGACCGTAATTATCCACACCAATTTTTTAGACATTTGTCCAACGCGTTGTCTACTTACAGGGGTTTAAAGTTTCGGCGTTGAGGCCGTCATGTTACACTTCACACATCGATAATTTGTCGTAAACATTACCGATTTTAAATAATGACCAGTGATTTTTTAAGTATTTTTTACATACTTTCGAGATATATTATGCATTATTAATAAAAAAGGTTAATTAATTGATATTTTTTAACATTAATAATAAATTCAAATTTTTCTTTAAGATCGGCATCTTCAATTTCAATAAAAAAAAAAATGCCAAAAAAAAAAGAAAATGTTGTCAACAATAGGAAGTCCAAGATGGAGAAATCACTCCTTAGTAAGTTACAATTCATTCTGTGTGCGAACTCATGATCCGTGCCGCCCGCGCCGCCGCGGCGGGCCCCGCATATTGAACTAAACATAAAGAAATAGACATAAAAACTGAATTAAAGATTTGATCATAGTTACACTGACATTGATAGATTGATATATACAAGGTAAGGCAAAACAGTCGAAAATTATATATTTTAATAATAAAAAATAGTTTACAAAATATTTTGACACTTTTTTAAATAAAATACTAAATTTCGTTAAACTTCACTTTTTCAAAGAAAAATCATTGCACAGCATAGCATATCTTCTTAATGTCGTATAACTTTTGTAAGAATATTTTTTTCGTATCACTAAAAATAGCGAAGATATTTAAGGTAGTAATTTTAAGTGCTTTACCCTGCATATATATATGTAAAGAAAATTCTGTATACAGCACAATAATAAAAGTAACAGTTTATATTTTTATTATCAAACACACAGATGTCAATAACAACCGGACATTACAAAAAATTATAATAACTTACCGAAAGGAATCTGGGGTAGCCATCCTCCATAAGGCCAACAAGAATTGCGTTCGCGGAGAAATCATAGGGGTTCCATTTGTTATTCTGTGTAGTCTGTGCTCAATACGAGACAGAATGTAATTGCAAGTTTCAGGTAACATCCTAAATTATATACACATAACACACATATTATATAATATACATATTTTTTATTTATTTTTTTAGAAATTTTATATATTAGTAATTCATACCTGAAATGGGCTTTAAATTCTTTTTTTGTCAATTTTGGTATTAACTCTTCTACATAATTTTCTATTCTTGTTACAGTTCTTCTTGGGTTTCTTCCAATTAATTGTAATTCTTCATCATCGCTTTCAGACGATGAAAACTCTAATTCTTGCACTATAAGCGATACTGCTGTTACAACAATCTTTTTGCGATCTTGTTGCATTTTATTCTTTATAGACTTGAGACTGACAATGAGTATTACACACCGACAAGGAAACGACGCACAACCGAGAGGAGCTTTTTTCTCGTGCAGAAACTGTGTTGTATATGTCTACTTCGAATAACAGTACCTAAAAAAAATAAAACAAGAAAACACGAAAATATAATTTATTTTTCGTATACAAAGTATCTATTAGTACCATTCTTTGCCATTAACTGAAACTATATTATTATTATTTTTATAGTTATAAATGTAGTCAGCACATTTTATTTTTTATTTGTTACCGTTCTTTTATTACTGTCATTTCTTATCTTAATGTTATATATTGATTTATATTCTTTATTCTTATATAATAAAGAAATAAATATAAAAATAGTAGCAATGATGAAATAATGCAAATTAATTTTTGTTCATGTGGAAAATGAAATAATAAATATAATTTTTTATATATTTTAATAATTAAGCAATATGTCTATTATTATAAAATTCTTTAAATGATAATTATGTTTTGCATGTAATATGTTTAAACGTTACATATATTTCTTATTGAAATACATTTCTTTGCTTTTTTGCACAGCAACTCCAGAAGCAAGTCCCGTTTTCGAATAAATGGCAAATCCACTTGTAACATACAGACGTATGTACTTACAAATTGCTTTTCCACCTGAAAATGAGCCAGAAAAATCTTCGCCCCGGAAAAATCGTTAACACGATAATTCGAGTAGAGAACTGCGTACTATATTATGGGTATTCAAATAAGTTAGTTTAACGGTTTGACAGGTTATGTCAACAGGTTATGCCAAAGATTAATGTGACAGGTTAATGAGTCACTTATGTATTTTGCATAACCTTAAAGAATAGCGTGCCCAAAGTTAATTAATTAACTTAATTAATTAATTAATTAATTAACTTTTTACTCTAATTCAACTTGACATAACCTGTCAAACCGTTAAACTTCTTATTTGAATACGAATACGTTCAGGGAGACGCTATCAAAACTACTAACGCAAACACTATTGGGTGCGTTCGGGGAGTTCGCTACCAATGCTAACGCTATGACTGTTCATAGAACTCACTATCACTATTGCGCTATTGGCTCTACGAACAGTCCTGGTAGCGTTTGCGTTGGTAGCGTTAATAGCGTCTCCCCGAACGCACCCCAAGTGTTAAATCATTTGTTGTATTTTCATGATGACTACGGACTTTATCACATATAGTACAACGAGCTGTTAAATCATTTACTCTTTCAAAAAAATTCCAAACACGACTCGCTTGTTTATACCTGCAAAT